TGCTCCTCTGATGCTGCCTGGCCTGCTGTGTTCCTCCAACTCCACACTGTGTTATCTCTTAGATATTGTCCAGGTCTTGTTGCATTTGAACGTGGACTGCTTCAGTATCTGAAGAGTTGTGAATGGTGCCGAACATTATGCAGTCATTGGTGAACATCCTGTTTCAGACTTTATGATGGAAGGAAGCCCATTGATGAAGCAATTGAAGATGGTTGGTCCTAGGACACAACCCTGAGGAACTTTTGCAGAGAAGTCCTGGAGCTGAAATGACTGACCTTCAGCAACGACAACCATCTTCCTTTGTGCCAGATGTGATTCCAACCACCAGAGAGTTTGTCCCCAATATCCATTGATTCCAGAGCTCTTTGATGCCACGTTCAGTTGGAGTTTTGATATCAAAGGCTGGCACTCTCACCTCACCTCTGGAATTCAGCTCTTTTGTCCATGCTTGCACTGAGGTTGTAATAAGGTCAGGAGCTGAGTGGCCCTGGTAGAACCCAAACTGAGCATCACTGAGCGGGTTATTGCTGAGCTTGATAGCAACATTGATGACACCTTCCATCACTATTGATAGTTGAGAGTAGACTGATGGAGCTAGTTGGCTGGTTTGGATTTGTCCCGCTGTTTGTGTACGGGACATACCTGGGCAATTTTGCACATTGTCAGGTAGATGTTAGTGCAGTAACTGTACTGGTAAACATGGCTAGGAGTGCGCAAGTTCCGAAACATAAGTCTTCAGTACTATTGCCTGTATATTGTTAGAGCCCGTGGCCTTTGCAGTATCCAGTGCCTGCAATTGTCTCCTGATAGCATGTGGAGTGAATCAAATTAGCTGAAGATGTGGCAGGATTGCAGAGCTTAGATTTGATCCATTGGTTGTCAGATTACTTAGCTCTGTCTATTACTTGCTGCTTATGCTGTTTAGCTTGCAAGTAGTCCAGTTTGCTAGCTTCACCAGTTCGACACCTTATTTTCAGATATGCCTGGTGCTGCTTCTGGCATGCCCTCCTACATTCCATTGAAGCAGGTTTAAACTCCTGGCTTGATGGTAATGGTTGAGTGGGGGAATATGCTGAGCCATGAGGTTATAGATTGTGCTGGAGTACAGTTCTGTTGCTGTCGATGGCCCTCAATGCCTCGTGGATGCCCAGTCTTGAATTACTAGATCTGTTCAAAGTCTGCCCTATTTAGCATGGTAATAGAGCCACACAACACAATGGAGATTTTTCTTAATCTGAAGGCGGGATTTTGTCTTCAAAAGGACAGCTGCATCTGTAGCCAGCAGATTGGTAGGGATGAGGTCAAGTATGGTTTTCCTCCTTGTTGGTTCCTTCACCACCTGCTGCAGAGCCAGTCTAGCAGCTATGTCCTTTAGGACCCGACCAGCTCAAACAGTAGTACTGCTGCTGAGCCAGTCTTAGTGGTGGACATTGAAATCCCTAACCCAGAGTGTATTTGGCACCCTTGCCACCTTCAGTGCTTCCTCCAAGTATTGGAGGAGTACTGACTCATCAGCTGAGGGTGGACAGTACATGGTAATCAGCAGGAGGTTGCCTTGCCCATATTTGACCCAATGCTATGAGACTTCACGCAGTCCAGAGTCAATGTTGAGGCCTCCCAGGGCAACTCCCTCCTGATTGTGCACCATTGTACTGCCATCTCTGAATATGTCCTGCAGGTGGGTTAAGACATATCCAGGGATGGTGATGGTGGTTACGTTGAATGTACGGTATGTTTCCATGAATATGGTTATGTAAGTCTGTTGCTGGACTAGTCTATGAAACAGCTTAAAATTTTGGGCACAACCCCAGATGTTAATAAGGAGGACTTTTCAGAGGCAATAGGGCTGTTTCTGCCATTATCAGTTCTGGTGCCTAGGTTGATGCCAGGTGGTCCATCCAGTTTCATTTCTTTGTTGAGATTTCATAGTGATTAATCAATAGGTCATTCCCGAGGGCAGTTGAGAGTCAACAACATTGCTGTTAGTCTGGAGTCACATGTAGGCCAAACCAGTTAAGAACATCTGTGAAGGAGATGGGTTTTTCTGACAGTAGTTTCATGGATCATCATTAGATTCTTAATTCCAGACTGTATTTTCATAGAAAGAACTTTTCCACCATCTGTGGTGGGATTGAACCCCAGTCCCCAGAAGATAAGCTAAATTGCTGTATTAGTAGTCTAGTGATAATACCACAATAGGCCATCACTTCCCCTATTCCAAATTCCCCAACTGGCAGAAATAGATTAGTCTGGCAGAAACTATCAGTTCCCTTTAAAAATTTGAAAACTTAGATTAAGGGAAGGTGATAACTCAGTGGTATTACCACTAGACAATTAATCCAGGGACCAAGTAAATTTCTGGGATTCTGGTTTGAACCCTGCCATGGCAGATAGTGGAATGTGAATTTAATAAATATCTGGAATTAAAAGTCTAATGATGACCATGAAACAATTGCAGATTGTCAGAAAACCCTTTTGGCTCACTGATGTCCTTAGATGGTGTCAGGAATATTAGCTAAGAATGCCGCTGTACCTTTAGTCACATGATGGAAACTGCCATCCTAACCTGGTCTGGTTTAAATGTGATTCCAGACCCACAGCAATGTGTTTGACCCTTAAATGTCCTCCGTGCAATTAGAGATGGGCAATAAATGCTGACCTAGCTAGTGATGCCCACATCCCATGAATGAATCAAAACAGAAAATTAACAAAAATAAGGAGCATTGCCTAAGTATTAGGATCAGATCTTTAAATGCTGAAATTAAGAAACACTTCATAAAAAGTATGTGGAAAGGATGGTAGAAACTGAGCTCTGCAAGTGATTGCTGGTACTGGTTAAATTGTTAGTTTTATTTTTTGTTAACCAAAGGTGTTGAGGGATATGGGGCAAAATTGGAATTGGGTACTGTTGCTAAGTAGGGTACAGTACTTGTGGACTGGAGGGCGAGATGTTAGAATTTGCTTGTTAAATGGTAGGGGGAAGTATCCGTCCCCTTTATAAGATGATGCGCTTTTTCTAGACTAGGAGAGCTTGAGGGTGAGAGGCAGGTTAAAATCACTTTGCACACTTCAGTTGACAGATCATAGAGCATCTCTGGGTGTTTCAGTTTTAGTTGTCGGGAGGGTAGGGGGTCGACCTCTGCTTTATAACAGTACCATATCAACCACATTCTAATTGAATGCCAGAATAAGTCCCGGAGACTAAATCAAAAACAGAAATTCAGTGGTCTGGCAGTATCTGTGGAGAGAAAGCAGATTTAACGTTTTGGGTCCAGTGACGAGTCTATGACGATTCTTTGTGTTTTTTTGCCCAGAGACTAAATGACATATTCCTATTCTTATGATCTTAATATCAACTGTAAACCAGTACTAAATAATCCAAGACATCTTCTAAAGTTAGTATTTCACACAGAACATCAATACTAAAAGCCTGGTAACCCACTCACAAAGAATTTTCCTCTATTTGGTTGTTGTAATAACATTGGAAAAGTGTTCTTATGCACAATTTTGGTTGTGCACCATACCTACTAAAAAGAAGAAGTCAATCCACATGTTATTATCCTGTCCAAATAATATTAAAAAACGATTGTTTTCTTTGCTGTTTATCTATTTATCCCTAAATTTACAATTGCAAGCAAGGTTTTACGCAAGTCACATGAGGATTTTACCAATGCTGCAATGGAGTTGAGAGGGAATAGTCTTGTATTAACTGCAATTAATCTGTGTTGATGAACAATTTTTGAAATGAGATTGAAAGCTATAAGGATAAAAATAGACATAGACTGCATACAGTATCATAATGCCAATCAAGGCCATGAAACAGCTGAGATACACTGAGTTCAGGTGGAAAATATAGATTTGCAATGCTCAATTAGTACATTGTAATTTTACTTATTGCACCAAATCCTCATTATCCACAGGGGATAGGGTCATGGACTTCATGTGAATAACAAAAAGTGTGGATACTGCTTATATGTGAATTTCTTATCTGTTGCAAAGTATTGCATGATCAGACATGATGAGTCAATGAAGAAAAAAAAAATGGAGTCTGGGGTCAACCCCCAAGGTCCATGGATCCATGGATAGCAAGTCAATGGATAACAAGGAGTGAGTGTATTGATGTTCCTCAAGTAATTCATTTAACTAGAAAATTGCCATGACAATTTAACTAAGTAATCTATTAGAAGTTTTGATAGGTGGAGTTATGTTTTTCATAATTATTAAATTAATATTTTAATCTGGTTTAATTAAAAAAGGAAAGCTGTGTTGTAATTTGCTAGGAGTTTGAGCAGAAGTCTGTGAATGAGTTTAAATTGTTCCAGTACAGTGCAGCAGTTGGGACAGTTAAAGTTGTACAATAAAAGTACATTCAAAGTGCTTGAAATTAGAAAAGAGCAGAGTTGTGTGTGTGAGGTGGTGGTTGGCTAGAGATGGACCTGAAATTAAATAGTTAAACTGCTATTAAATTGGAAGATACTTCCATGTCATCCAAGATGTAGCTTCAAATCAGAGGAGTGTGACTGTTATCTATTCTTTTGTAGATGAGCTACGAAGGACTAACAGGTTAAAGGACTAACAGGTTAAAAGACTATAATCCTCCGAACAGAACATTACTAATATTGTTTGTCAAGTTGATACAGGTTGTGCTGTCAATTCAGAACTGAATTAAATTGAATTCCTAATGTTGTGTTTTAAGTCCAGAGCACTGTTTCACAATACTTATTTGAGTTGGCAATTGACCTAACCTTAATTAAGGTAGTAAAATACTGTTTGGTTTATTTGTTCATAAAATGTGGGCATTGCTGGCACTTATTGTCAATCTCTAATTATCCTTGAGAAGCTGATAGTAAAGGCATTTCATGTGGGGTAGGTTCATTTGCACTGCTCTTAGGATGAGTCAAACTTTAACTGTTTGCAATATGTTTCTATATATTTTTACTTTTTAACAGGTATATACTGCTAATCTATTATAATTTTTGTATAATATCTTTGTTTTAAAGGAGCTACAAGGTCCAGGTTTTAATACTGGTCAATGTTCAAATACTCGAGTCTATTCCCCTCCAGTTTGTGTTAATCCAACATCTTCCCGGCCATCATCAGGATACCTCTCTTCTGTAAGCGTTCATCTTTCATAATCCATTTACTAAATGCATTTTTATTTTCCAGGACCATAATTTTGCTGCAAATGACTTATTTTATCAATTATAGGGTTACCTAGAGCTCATGCTGGACTGGTCCTGTCAGGGTAGCAACTTAAAGATTCATGGGTTGAGAAACTCAGATTTTCCCCAGCAGATCTATCATCTTCCTCTTTTGTTCATGTGGTGGCAGTAGGATAGTATGGCAGGCCGTGAGCAATACCATTTTCTCATGATGTATTCCTGTTCTGCCATGCAATTACATTGACTGAAAAATTTGGTGAAATCTTTTTGTGACTTTTCCACCAACCAAGACAAAATTGTGGGCAACAAACCTGAAGAGAAAATGATGAACAGTGATGCAGTTGACCATTGAGGGAATCCAAACCAAAGTGAAAAGTAGATTAAAGCACTGGATCATATTGAACGTTCACCATCAACACTTGAAGTGCACTTTGTAGCTGTGATTTTCCTCACAGAACTTCATCAGTCTGAGGGCCACTGGAATGAACAAGTTATCTATTCAGACAAGGAACTAACAGCCTACCTACCTTCTATGTCTTAAAATATGAATACTTGAACAGCCAGCATTTGTTTCAGCTTAAAAGCTGAACAAAACAAATCAATTACTATCCAAATCTTAGTTTGCCCATTTTGGCCAAATTTATGTGCAAGCAGGCCTGGTCAAAACATATCCTCTGTCAAGTGAGAATGCAATGGAATGAAGTCAGAAAATGCTATAAATACTCAGCAGATCTGGATGCATCTGTGGAGAAAGAAACAGAATAGATGTTTCACCTGAGTGACTGGAGGAAAAGGGTGATGGTGCAAGGCCAAAGGAAATGGTACTGGGGCACATCAGTCTAGTGAAGGCACAGATGGAAACAGCAGGGACATCAATAACAGTTATTGTCCAAAAAAAGAAAGGCAGATTTTATGATCTGAATTTGTTGAAACGTTTGTTGAGTATGAAAAGTTGTAAAATGTCTGGACAAAAAATAAAATTCTGTTCCTCCAACTTACCTTGAGTTTCACTGGAACAATGTGTGGGAGACTGGGATAAAGGGTTAGAAAGCAAGTTGGACAGAGAGTTAAAATAATCGACAACCAGAAGCTCAGGGTTGCACTCGTGAACTGAACAGAGACAATCTGCAAAGTGGTCACATGATCTATGTTCACTCTCTCCACTGTAAAGGAAACTGTATCGTGGGCTGTGTATATAGTATCCTAAACTGGAAGTGTTCCAAGGAGTTCTGTGTCTTCTAAGCAGAATGTTTTAAAAGCCTGTGTCCAAAATCCTCTAGTAGCAAAGTGGAAAAATTGTTTACATGTTTTTCAAACAGCTGAACACTAGAGGCCTCAAGTTTCTGTATTGTTTATACAATCACAGTGGGAAAGTAGGATTACTGCCTTATGTAATGAATTAAACCATCAGATATAAAAGCAAGAATAAAAGCAAATTATCTTTCAGTTTACATTTATAGTGGTTTCTGGCAGCATTTGTGAGAAACAAAGTTAACTTCTCAATTCTGACATGACTGAGTTCTGAAGAAGTGCCATCTTGGACTCAAAATATTAACTCTGTTTCTCTATCTGCAGATGTTACCAGACCTGTTGAGTGTCTCAAATATTTTCAGTTTTTAGTTCAGATTTCCAGCATCTGTATTATTTTGTTTTTATCTGTTTTAAGTACCTTGGTAATTGAGTATCTTCTCCTCTGTGAGCTTTCACTTTGGCTGATGGTTGCATTGCTTTTGCTCACTCCTGAGTACACTGTGATTTATACTAATTAGTTATTTGGCAAATGTTTGTGTAACTGCACCACTGGAGGATGATGCTGAAGTCCACAACAGGCCAACTTATGGAGTTTGTTGTCAATATAAGCATCACAGCAAATCCTGTATCAATATATGAGGAAGTGTAACTAATTCAAATATCAAATTAAGGAATGATTATTTCCCCATGTGGGAGAATCTAGGACCAAAGGGCATAATCTCAGAATAAAGTTTTAAGATAGAGATGAGAATGAATTTCTTCTCTCAGAGTTGTGAATCTGTGGAATTCTTTTCTGCAGAGGGCCATCAAGGCTGGATCATTAGCTAAACTCGAGGCTGATGTCAACATATTTTCAATCAGTAATGGAATCAAGGGTTTTGAGCAAAGGCAGGATAGTGGAATTGAGGATTATCAGATCAACCATTATTTCATTGAATGGCAGAGCAGACTCACTGAATTGAATGGTTATTTCTATGTCTTATGGTCTTACTTTATTCATCAGTGTTTTATTCTTGCAGCTGTTTGCAGAGCAAGGTATTGATGGTAGTATTGCCTGATTTAAGAAGAACAAGAAGGAAATAGGTCCTGACCAATTTTGATATCAGGTGTATCTAGTGGAAGCATTGGTGCTCAGGCCTCAGCTATTTACAATCTGTTTCAATGATGTGGATGATGGACCAAATGTGAAATAACGAAATATGTTCATGACACGAAACTAGGTGGAAAAATAAACTATGTAGTGGACATAAATAGGCTGTGAAGGGATAAGGATTGGCTAAGTGATTGAACAAGAAGGTGGCAGATGGACTATAACATAGGGAAGTGTAAAAATGTTCAGGAAGAATGGAAAAGCGCAATGTTTTTAAAAGATGAGGGGCTAATAAATATTCGTATTTGGAAATCCTTGCATGTGAACCACAGATAGTTAACATGTGGGTCCAACAAGCAGTTAGGGAAAGAAATGTCCTGATTCCCTTTATTACAAGTACATTGGTGTTTAAAAATAAGCAAGTTTTGCTGCAATTAAATAGGCTTTGGTGAGAACACACCTGAGGACCTGTACTATGCATAGTTTTGGTCTCATTTGACTTAGAGGGGGTGCAAAATATGTCTACTAGATGAGAGGGCTTGTTGTAAGAGACAGATGATTTCATGCAAATGTACAAAATTCTTAGAGAGCTTCAATGATAAGTGTTGAGAGGCTGTTCCATCTGGCCAGGGAGTTTAGAATTAGTCTCAGTGTTAGGTTCAGGAGAAATTTCCTCACCCAGAGCATGGTGAGCCTGTGAAATTCTCTACTGCAGAAGCAGTTGAGGCCTAAATATTGAATGTTTTCAAAAAGGAGTTTGATATAGATTTTAAGACTAAAGGGATCAAAGTCTATGGGAAGAAAGTGGGATCAGGGTACTGAGTTGGATGATCATCCATGTCATGTTGATTGGTGGAGCTAGCTCGAAGGGCCAAATAGCCTGCTCTTGCTATTTCTTCTGTTTCTAGGAAAAACTCAATTAAACCTGTCAGATATGATCTCTTACTGACAAAGCTATGCTGACTATTCTTGATTAATTCTTGACTCTGCAAGTGGAGATTAATTCTGTCCCTCAGAACTTTTCCAAAATTTCCTTGGTTTATTCCAGCCACCTTTCTTGAATGATGGTACCACATTAACTATACTCCAGTGCCTGTCTTCTGTGTCCATAGAGGATTTAAAAAGTTGGTGTCAATGCCCCTACCATCACTTACCTTTCCTCTCACAGTACCCATGATATATCTCATCTGGGTCTTACCCAAATTTAATTTGTTCAGTTCTGAGGAAGAGTCACCAGACCTGAAACGTTAACTCTGATTTCTGTTCACAGGTACTGCCAGACCTGCTAAGCTTTTCCAGTAACTTCTGTTTTTGTTTCTGATTTACAGCATCCACAGTTCTTTCAGTTTTTATTTAATTTGTTAAACTATATCACAGTCCTCTTCCCTGATTTCCATTCCTACATGGTTCTTCTCCACTCCGAATACAGATGTAAAGTACTAACTTAAAACCTCACATATTCAGTCTCCACCCACAGTTTTCACTTAGACCCATAATAGCTTCCTCTCTTTCCCTGGTTATCTTTTAGTCCCTCATATATTTACAAAATGCTTTTGAATTTTCCTTCTTTTTATCCACCAGTGATTTCCATGCCCCCTCTTCACTTTCCTAATTTATTTTTTAAATACGCTCCTCCCCCCACACTTTTTATATTTACGTACAGCTTCTGATGTTTTGAGCTTTCTTTTCTGTCGTCAGCAATAGGTTTCTGACTTTTTGGGATATATTTGATTGATATAGATTTAAATATAGGGGACATTTGAAAACATTTGCAGATTGTGCAAAAATTGGCTGCAGTAGATTAAGAAAAACAAAGCTAGCAGACCACACGAAGATATCAATGGATTGCTTAGGTGGCAAATAAATCATGAATGGAATTCAGTCTGGAGAAATATTAAATGATCCATTTAGGGAAGGCAAACAAGACAAGGGAGGAGACTAGAAGTGGTAGGGCAAAAGAACAGAGGAACATTGGAATACATTTCCACAGGATCCTGAAGGTAGGAGAACAAGTAAATAAGGTAGTTAGGAAAGCATACACAAGATACCTTCCTTTATCAGCCAACGCATGGAAAACAAGAGTAAAGGAGTTTCTTCTAGAACTAGTGTAAAACACCACTGAGACCACTGTGTACCATTCTGTTCACCACATTAAGTGGATTGATCTGATTACACTAGAATGGGTGCACAGCAGATCCAAGAGGATGTTCTCAGGACAGGGAACATTTTATCTATGAGGAAATAATTTGGGATTGTTTTCTGTGGTATATTGGAGACTGAGGGTAGATTTAGTTCGGATGCATGCAATTCTGAACGGCCTGGAAAGGAAGGACCTGTCAGTAACCAGGGAGATCAGTAACAAGGAGGTATAAATTTAAAGTAATGGCTGGAGGGATTAGAAGGGGATTGATGATTATTTTCACCCAGAAAATAGCAGGGCTCTGAAACCCATTGCCTGAAAGAACATTGGAAGCAGATACCCTCATCTTCTTTAGAACAGGTATGTACTCAAAGTTCTGTAACCTACGGGGCTGCAGACCAAGATCTAAAAGTGGAAGTAAGTTTGAAAACTCTTCTTCAGCTGACACAAGTATAATGAGCCAAATAGTCTCTTATGTTGTAACTTTTCTGTGTTTTTATTGGGCATTAACACAGAGTAAATTGGGGTTTATGACAATAGGACCATAAAGTGAAATTAATGTAGAAGATCAGTCATAACCTTATTGAATGGTGAACCAAGATCATTGGATGGTATGGCTATCTTATGCTCCTGTTTCTTATGTTCTTAGTACGCAGCTTGTGTTTACGTTTGCATTTTTCCAGTATTGCTAGTTTCCAATCTACTACGAAAGATACCCAAATGTTTTCATGGGTTACCTTTCAAAGGTATGAATGACAATGACAAATTACTGCTGTCTATGTAAATGTGTCAGTCATAGAAAATTCTTGGGTATATACTTCTATTTCACTCCATTGCAGGCTTGATTTATTTGAGGACATTAACAGTAGACAAACGGAGATCATGTGGTAGGTAAATCACTTGAGGAGTTCCCATCTTGTTGACAAATTCATATAGGAAAATTAAAATAATTGTTCATTATCAATAATGTCCAAAAATATCTAACATTCTGAGCTGAGAACTGTAAGAGTCCAAGAAGCAGATGTCAATGTTATTATTGCAGAGATGTGTACCAAATCATGGAGTAGGTGCTGCGTTGTGGCATTGGATGAAGAGATGTTATGTAGACATTGTAGTTAAACTTATATTAACAATTCATGAAAATTGTCACTATAGCAGGACATTTCAGACAATGTCAAGTAATAACTTAAAGTTTTCAAGGGTTACAAGCAAATACAACTGTGATGAGCTTTTCAAAAGGCTGACAATTCTGGGGAGATGGGGTGTCATTTTACCTCTTCACTTGAGTGGTAAACTCACGGACTGGACTGCTTGCCCATTCTAGAACTTTATTGATTTTCATTTTTATTGGAATCAATGGAAATGAAAATGAAGTGGTTCCTTAAATGGGCTGTGAATCCATCCCACCTGTTTACTAAAGGAAGATGAAAATTACCTTTGGAGGAGGGGGAGTGACAAAGGTCTAATGCAAATTCAAGCTTCATATTAATAATCATCTTAACCTTTTAATTCACTCCAAAAATATATTCCAAGTATAATGTCTTTTCTATTTAAAAATTTTAGGCTGTGTCCAAGACCAGTTGTCTTCAAGAGGACTTGAACCCTGATTTGAAAAATCTTCTAATGGATCTTAAGAGTACAGCCTGTGATGGGTGTAACAGATCAAACAGCATAAATTACACTGAATGTGAAGGAGAAAGAACATCACGAAATATGCATGCGGTGTAAGATTCAGATACTTGCTATGCTCACTGTATCATCATGATCTAGTACCATTAAATGTGTTAAAGTGGCTTAAATTTACCACAATTCCAATTTCAAGTGTGCTTGGAAAAACTTAATTCATATTTACTTTTCTGGACAGTGAATAATTATCAAAGCAGGCTTTCCAGATTTCTGTTGACTTTATTGTCATCTCTTATAACAGCAATTCTTATAATTTGTAGAAAGAGGCATTCTTAATGGGGTTGAGCATTATCATTCAGTCACATTGGATAAGTTCACATTGGATAAATTCACATTACATCACAGGTACAAATCATGCAGATCTAATTCAATATCTGTGACCCTGTTTATCAAAGGAGGAAGAACCCTTCTTAAGGGTACCATGACATGCTCCAGGAATTATTTTTTGCCCCCTCATTGAAGGAGGAAAATAGTCAATCCTATACTATTTATTTAACTAATCCATTCATTTTTGTAAACAAAACTTTAATCTTTACAACCAAGCTGCCTTTTTAGATGTTCATTAATATCAACTTAGAAAGCTTAAAATCAGTATTTTTTAAAAAAATTCAATGTAAACATTTTAATGTTTTATTTCTAGATGTAATTTACCAAGTTTTTTTTGGAAAGTATGAATTTTATTTAATCTAAACAGGATTATATAATATTCTCAAATGTAGTGATGTCAAGTAACAATTCCTGTTTGTTTCTTCCTTTGTCTATGGATCCTAGTTGTGAGAATCTCAAAAATTCTGGATTTATATATAACAGTCAGTTGTTGCTAAGGTTATTCAAATGCTACTTCCACTAGTTGCCTAAATATCAGCAAAATTATATCCCTCATACATTGTATTACAAATAGGATTAATTTGCTGGTAGCCTTTTCAGACCCCGCTTTACATGTTGTTTAATTTACTTTTTGTTGTTCTCACAGTTGACATTAGTTGATCTTTTCCATTGCCCATTACTCTCGTATTAGAATATTTCTAGGTTTTTCTCATTTCCTAGTCAAATATGTTACTGAATTGCAGGAAACCTTACAACACTTGCATGACATTAGAAACTTCTCAACCTTCTTCTCTGTAGGGAGAACAGTCTCAACTTCTTCAATCTGTCTTCATAACTGAAGTTTCTCAGTAATTCACTTCTGCACTCTTTAGAATGGATTCACAACTTTCTTATAATGTGATGCCAACAACTGTAGACAATACTTTCGCTGAGATCTAACAAATGTAATCTAATTTATCTATTGCTGAACATAAAATCTTATTAATTTAAAAATGTAATGTTTAAAACCATAATTTTTTTGCATTGGAAAACATTTAAAAATATATATTTAAGATCGGCAACCTGGTTACTTTTATTTCTACAGCTACAGAAGCTTTATAGGTTTTAAAAGCTATAAAGAACCCTTGACTAGATTAATTGGTGTCTGTTTTTTTTTTAAGCAGTTTTAAAAAAAAAAATATTCAACTGCTTTTTGGTCCTTAGTTGTGCCTTTCTGCTGAGAAAAGGCAAACAATTTTAAGAGCCCCTCTATGTGAGCACAATTGATGGAAATTCATCACCATGATTAGTTTGATCTGCTATCATGGCCTGTTCTCTGTGTGGGGCTAGTTTCCACAAATAATTTTGAAACTAGCATTAACATTGTGAAAATTAATTTGCAGTGGTTGTAATTTATGTTTAAATTTCCTTGATCATTTGCACACGTTTCATAGAGCATAGAATCCCTACACTGTGGAAACAAGCCCACACAAACCCTCAAAGCATCCCACCCAGACCCATCCCCCTATAACCCACCTATCTACTCATCCCTGAATAGTATGGGCAATTTAGCATGGCCAATCCACCTCATCTGCACATCTTTGGGCTGTGGGAGGAAGCCTATGCAGACATGGGGAGAATGTGCAAACTCCACACAAACAGTTGCCTGAGGGTGGAATTGAACCCAGGTTCCTGGTGCTGTAAGGCAGCAGTGCTAACCACCGAGCCACCGTGCCATCCCGTTAGGCACATGACACTGGAAACAGAAACTTGTAGACAATCTACCCATCACTTTAATCTCAGTTTTCAGATTTGTAATATCATTTTCCCTGTTCTTTTAATTCTTTTTATTGTATACAATTTGATTGTTTCTTATGAACAACCTTTGAAATCACAATGTCTGCTATTAAATTAACAGTGAAGCTCTTTTCCAACAATCTACTCAGTCCTTTCCTTGTAACTTCAGCTCATGAGACCCTATTGAGCATCCCGGTTGCCTTTAACATAATCACCTTTTTTTCTTTTGTTTGAGCAAAAACATCCTTCCCCAATTACTCTAAATCTAGTTCGATCATTAACAGTATCACTTCTTTTGAATTGCATTTTTCCTTTAAACAAATGGAAGCAATTGCCTTCTCATTTCCATTATAGCCATAAAATATATTAATGGTTTCAATTAACTTTCCTATTATTTTTCTGATCCGTATACCTTGTTTCCCCTTGTTAACCTTTACTTTAATTTTAGTTTCCTTTTTGCCTGGTGTCCTACCCCTATGATTTCTCAAAATGGAAAGCTTACCAAACGTGAACCCATTGGAAATTTGAATGAAGGGAGTGCAGGTTGGGAAAACAATACTGGATCTCTGGGAAGTGAATCTATTTTGCATACTTTAAGATTAGGATTCAGAAAACTCAAAAAATAGGAAAATGATCTATTCATGATCAATTCCAAATTTGCTTCAGCAAAAAAATTCAGTAAGTGGTAGCCATAAAATTAGGAAGTTACATGAATTTAATTGCATTACTTTTATACTATGTTGTTTAATTTTTAGGGATGATTTGAATACAGACATTTGTATGGAAAGTGGAACACATGATACCTGCTTCAGGTTTGAGCATTTTTCAATTTGGTTTAATATGTTTGCTTTCAAATGCGGTTCCTTTTATACATTGTTAGAACATTAACTGAGAATAGTGGTCATTGTTTTCTGCTGCAAGTAGTGGTACCAAAATTAAATGGAGTCAAACTCACTAAATTTCACTATTTATGAATTGTACTTAAAAAAACAACTTTTTACTACTAACTAAGTGAATTTTTAATAATAAGACATAGTTCTGAAATTCACACAATATTACACTGGCTTGTTTGCAAATCAGTTATCTGTGTGAGGGGGAGTTAAGACTTCTGTTTAACAGCAGAGCATGCAATAAATGTACATTTTTGGGTAAGTGTGCTCTCATTCCTTCTCCTTTTTCACCCGTTCAACTAATGTAAAGCTCATTAAATGTATTGGCTTATACTGGCCTTCGTTTTGTGTTAATTGACTCATGTCAAGGAAGTCGAGCTCAGTTCTCATTCCCTATTTAAAATAGTAATAACTTGCATCGCTTGATTATAGTTTCACAGAAGCAAGCTACTTGCAATATCTCATCTGTGCTTAAATTCAGACAATATGGTGAAATGCTTGGATCTTGGGAGACATCTGATCCTATTTTACTCACCTGCCATACACGTGCACACACGTCCCAACAGGAGTCACTTCTGCTTTCAGTTTTTCTACTGGATTACTTTATCCGACTACTGTTTTTGGAAAATTAAACTTCCAAACAACATTTGGATGAAAATTAAATCCTCTTTTTTTTTCCCCTATACAGCAACTTTGAATTCAACTAGATTAATATGCTTGAATGTTTTGTGTTCTGTTTGTTGTTAGGTCAGGCAGTTCTCCCATGAGATGCCTTTGTTCTCACAGCAACAATGCTTGGTTTGCATGCTTGCTGTATTTAACCTTCATGCTGTGTATTACTAAATCTGTGCATGTTGCTAGCAATTTGGAATGCTATCTACACGTCTTTTCCTGCAGGGATCGATCGTGTACTCAGGATGCAAAAGAAACCTTCAAATCTGACCATTTTGCTTGCCCTGGTGAGTTTAACATTAACAGCATGCCAGGGTTGCTAAGAGTTGGTGTCCCTTTGTTGATTTTGTCAACAATATAGGTTGTTCTGAAAAATGTTATACTAAAAGAAATTGAAATTTGTATGGGAATCCATACAGAAAATGTGAGAGGAATGATCTTGTTAGTGTAACAAAAATATTTTACCAGTGTTGAGAAAAACAAATTCACCATCTTCAAGCCTTTCATAATCATTTAATTTGTGCTTTTCTGTGCATGCATCTAACAGTTGGGGGTCGGTGGTGATGGCGGAGAAGGTTGGGGAGGGAGACAGAGTCTAAATTTCTGGGAAGCAGATCCTGAAAATAACAGCTCACCACTCTGCATACTCAGTGTAGTATAATAAGCTGCCAGATGGTGAAGTTCGCTGCACTTCACTGCAACCACATAATTTAGTTCAACCTCAGAAAAGCACAACCGGTACGCTACCTGTTGCTTTTCCATTTCTCAAGCATCCTGTGACATTTTATTTTAACTAAGTTTAACAAATTGTGCTAATTCTGAGCTAGTTTTGTGTTTTAACTTGTTTTCCCTTGAAATTGGATGGAGACTAAAAAGCATAGAACCCCATTACCACACAACAAAAACAAAGTTGCTGGAAAAGCTCAGCAGGTCCGGTAGCATCTGCGAAGGAAAAAAAAAAAAAAGTGTTAACATTTTGGGTCTGGTAACCCTTCCTCAGAACTGATAGTGGCTGGGAAAAACGTCAGTTTATATGCAGAAAAAAAGAAAGGGAGATGGGGTAGCAAGTAAACGATAGGATAGAGCCTAAACATCGTTCTGCTTGCAAAAGAGACCCTGAACTACCTGTTACCTGCCACTTTAACGCACCACCCTGTTCCCTGGCCAACATCTGTCTCTGGCTTGCTGCAGTGTTCTAGCGATGCTCAACGCAAGCTGGAAGAACGACACCTCATTTTCTACTTGGGGACCCTGCAGCCCTCTGGACTCAATAGTTTTAGGGCCTAAACTCTCCCATGTCCTAGCCCTCCACCCCACACACTAGGCCTTGTTATCACAGTCTGCCATTACAACCCCCTGTTGTTAGTCACTATGTGATAACAAGTTTTACTGGTCTCTTTTAGTTTGTTCACATTCACTGTTTTCTGTTGTTTCTTTTCTTGTTTTTGATTAGGTATTTATCAACATGTGCCTTTTTGTTCTTCCCTTCTATCACCCCAGAACTTGCTTTAAACATTGACTTGGACCAGAAAAAGTTAGTAAACGACCTGAGATATGAACACTATTTCTCTCTCTCCGCAGATAGTATCTGATCTACGAGTATTTTTCAGCTTTTTCTACTTTTATTTCAGACTTCCTAACATGTTTGTACATGGGAACATCAACTTGTCGTAGCATAAGTCACATTTTGTGTCAGTGTAAGTTTTTCTATAATGGACCTGACCAGATTCAACAGCATTGGAGCAAATTACAGCAGATGCTGGAATCTTCTAGTGAAAACAAAAATGAGTCATCTAGACTCAAAACATTAGCTTACTTTCTTACTTTCTCTCCTTGGATGCTGCCGGACCCGCTGCGATCTCCAGCATTTTTTTATTTTTTGTTAAGTACAGATTTATCAGATTTATGATATTACTTTTTGAAACAAACTTCAAAGTGTAATTTAAAGCCAAAATAAGATAAATGAAACTTGTGCGTCCTTCTGATTTAAGGCTACAAAGTATTATCAATGCAACAATACATGAAAGTTCATGTAATTATTTTAGTCACCTTTGCATTAAATTTTACAACATTAAAAAGAAAGTTTCCCATTCAATTAAAACTCGAGTGACCATTTAAAACCATATCTAGTAATGGTTTGAAATCTCTCCATTTTTCCATTGCATCTTTCCAGACCATCAAGCAATGTTTACATTAATATGGTGTTAAGTGTCAAATGTAATGAAAACTATGGGATATTTTATGGAGCAGCTTATGGATGTTGAAAAGCAGGAATCTACATGACCTTGTTAACACAATAGAAAGATTTAATTAGTGAACTAAGAATTGACAGTCACTTTTGCAATCTTTTCAAATGAAAAATCCATATAGTATGAACCAGTTTCCCGAGAACGTCAATGCTGGGATATAATGGTTGCACCTCCTCTTTGAAAAATAAGATGGAATAAAATGTAAGTTGGCATTGTTCAATTAGCACAAGTGAGATTTACAGTATCCTGCACTTTTATTGTAGATTTATTTTGAAGTTTTCAAACTTGGATATGTCCAAACTGTGCAGAAAGCCTATTGACCAACGTCTTCCATAGCCCCTAATAATTTGTTATTTTGCACAATAGGGCAAAGCAGCTCTGGCTTTCAATACCATACTCAGGCACCTTTATGACAGAGCTTATCTACCTTGCCTGCTGGGAGAGAAAATCAGTTTACTTCAGATCCTGTTCATGTGTGAAGTAGTATGAGCTCCATTCTGCTGCAGCAACTATTTAGGAACATAGTAAAACAGGTTTTCTCTTGGTTCAAAATTCTACATTCAGTACATATGTTGGGCTTTTTGAAACACCTTTCCTTCACCCAGCCCCACCTTCTCATCATGCCAAAAGAATGTGTTATAAACAGCATTCTGTCTTGCATTCTCTTGTCCTTTAAGTTTACACAGGTCAGTTCTAGTGAATTAATTACAATGAACTGTTCCACTGAGATGTATGTAGTTGTGTGTAATATTTGGTCATGCAATCAAGGCCAGGTTCTTGCAAGATAAAAATAGTAATTTTCTATATTCAACACACTGAAGAACAAGAAAGAACCTTACCTTTCTAACACAATGAATCAAGGGACTGTAATTATTTCCAAAGTAAGTTCTCCTACCAGTGTTTGTTGTACCATCCTTTCACTTTGCAAGTGGATTAAATACTCCAGTAGATTTTTCCCTCCAAAATTCTGCCCTGAATGCCAGCTTTTTGTAATGATGAGACTAACACCTGTAATGAAACCACCCCACAACCATTTCAAAAGGGTCAAACAAAATCTCAAAACTACAGACGGACACAGTAAGGCTGATTACTAAGTGATTGTTTAGCGAAGTAGATTTTAAGTGTTAGAAATACTTTGATGTTCATATAACATACCTTAACATACAGGGGGTCTCAAACAAGAAAAAAAAAGGAGATTAGGAAGGGAACTTCTGCAAGCACAGCCACAAACAGTGGTGCAATTAAAAAGGGATGCTGAAGAAACTAGAAGAGATAAAAAGCATGTTGGTTTCTCTTTGTTGCTGCATTTTTAAACTGTGCTGGCCTTTAAGGTTCTTAAATCCTCCAATTTCCAATATGGCGGCCCTCAGCAATAGGTTGTATGGCTAACACCTGGAGGAGGAGTGAGGCTCCTGGACTATAACCTGGTGTTATATGATTTCTGACCTTGAAGGAGTTAAGAAGTAGACAACAGTGAACCATGGAAGGATTAGAAAATGAGGGAAATCTTAAAACCAAGCTCGTACTTAACTGTAAGGCAAAGTAGATCATCGTGCACAAGATTGGTTTGAGTTAGGACATGGCTAGCAGAGTTCTGAAAGGCCTCAAGTTTAAAAAGATGGGATTCTGAACAGCAGTGCATTGCAATAGCCAAGTCCAAGGTTTATAAAAGCATGGATGAAAGTTTCATCAACAGCTGAATTGAACCTGTGGTGGAAGTAGATAGCCTTAGTAATGGCACAGATGAATGGTTGGAAGCCCATTTCAGAATCAGACAATGACAGAGTTCAACAGTAGAAAATTGCCAGACTGAGTCAGTGCTGAGAGAATGGAGTTTGTGATGTGGGCCAAAACCAATAGAGTCAGTTTTCCCTCAATTTGAGGAAATTTCTGTTCATGCATTACTGGATTGCTTGACCAGCAGTCTGACAATTGAGACACTAAAATTGTTGAGAGAAATAAAGATTAGGTAGAAATTGATGTAATAAGCATACATGTGGAAACAGATAATAGTTTGCCAGCAGCTACAGGTTAAGTGCTGGAGAAACTCAGCAAGTCTGACAGCAGAAGTTCTAAGGACTGAACTTGAAATACTAATTCTCTTTCACGAGTTAACAGGAAATTGTGATCCTTTGTCATAAACTTTAAACTGCGTTTCTCCAGCACTTTGTTTTGTTGACATGGAAACTGGATTTTTTTTTAAGACAACATTTCTATGGCATTATCTGGATTAGAAAGCAGGGACTAAGGGAATATCCTTAGGAGACACCACAGTTAGCAGCGCTGGGGCAGAAAGAGAAGCAATTGAAGTAGATTTTGCGATTATGAATAGATTGTAAAGAATGGAACCTCAAGTGTCATGCTAGTGTCCTTACCTCTGAGCCAGGAGACCAGGTCACACCTGGTCCAGAGGTGTGTAATAACATCCACAAACAGATTGATTTTTAAAAAACTCTAAATTGGAGGGTAAGAGTGTGGTGTGGAGGTAGAAGTAATATTGCTCGCCTAGTGATCTAGACTGAACCTATACATTCAGTACATCAAACTCCAGCATGATAGCTAATGAAATTTAAATACATTGCATAAAAATCTGAAAGAGGGTGGTGGTTTGGTCAACATGTTAAAGTCTGCAGGCGGCTCATCAGGAAGGATAGTTAGCTTTTGTCATACTTGCACAGGATTGAGAGAGAGAGAGTGCGAATTTTAAGAAGTGTTTTATTATTTTAAATGTTGCTGCCTTCCCCATTTTATTATAGTGGATATCCTTTCAAATCTGAACTTTAGCTGGCAATGGGTTAAATGGAAGGGATTAAAACAGATTACTTTACCAGTTAAAGGTCTACACTTTACTCTTTAAAAGCACAAAACATTACTTCATAATTGACTGAAGTGGGATGTTTTGAACCAAGAATATGAAAATCCATAATGCAAGGATATTAGAAATCAAGTTACCAACAGTCAAACAAAATATCACAAGGTCAAGTTACTGTTCTAATTTATACTTTAGTCCCACAGTGCTTACCAACTGTGAAGGTCTTGTTGTCAGCAAACATTTGCTTACACCTAACTATAAAGTAATATTTGAAACCAAACTTCTGCAAAACTTGTTGACCAACTTAAAAACCAAACAGGCCTGAACCCATGAAACAGATATACAAATCCAGTGACTTAATTTGATTCAGGATCAGATCTGTTTTGATCTCATGATGACAACCTGTGATGCAGCTAGTGTAACTTAACTGTATATTTCAATTTCCCAGTTACATTTTGCTAAAGATAAAATGTTTTTTTCCTCCTCTTGTACAGCAAACCACTCATTACAGACGAGTGGTCTGTGCTACACCTCCTCCCCCAAGCATCAGAGTCCAGAAAGATCACCAGTATCTTCCTTGCTAACTGGTTCACTGTGCGAATATAGAAGGGAAAACTCGGTTGTTAATGACCTATGCTGTTCAAGGACCAGCTACATGTCATCACCATATTTGGAAAATGAACTTCACTTCCAAAATAACAGTAAGATCTGTGTGTAACCTGAGAGAAGCAGGAGCCACTAAACACTTATTCTAAAGTTGTCTTTTTGTTGACTTGACAGGGTGTTTGACCTTTTGGTTTGCTTTGAAGGATTCAGTTTTAACAATGCTAGCATTTGCAGTTAAATAATGGGGAAAATTATATGACATGCATATTACTTGGTTATCTTGATAGGACACATTATTGGCTCAAAGATCACATCAGCTATCAGTATAGTTCACAAGATTTCAAAAAAATTTTTGAATCAGTGCCCAAATTGTATAAAATATTACCCACAAAATGGCAACTTCAAGTTATATTAAAAAAACCCAACTTAAACCAAGTTAGTCAAATCATTTTTTCCCTACGTCCATAGAATTATGCAAGATATGGGTTACTGAAATGGACTGTTCAGCCCAACAAATCTATGTTAATGTTAATGCTGCATTCAAGCCTCCTCCCAACTTTGGTCATCTCAATTTATCCTTGTACATTATTTTTCTAATCAGTTTGTTCAGAATGTTATCACACACCTCTGGAGCAGGTGGGACTTGAACACCAACCTCAGTCCTTATAAGCTAGCTGTTCCCATCTTCCTCATATGCTGGCCTCATTTCCCATTAAACGTCCACATATTCACTTCAATTCCCTGCAGCAGAGTTTCACAAAACACTTTGCATTAACGTTCTGAATTCTCTTTTAGTCACCAAGAAAGCTCTCTTTTGTATTTGATTGCCTCTAGTTAGGCTGTTTCGCATGGGACAAAAGATTCACTTCATATCCCCTCGTCAAACCTTGACTAGTTTTGAAGGCCTCGTTTAGGTCACCCTTTGTTTTCCAAGAGAGAAGATAACCAAATTTAAGTGTGTTGATCTTTGCTGTTTTGTATACTCATATTTCTAATTGTACTGATTTCTGCAAACTCTCCAGTGCTTCTACCTTCTTTTGATAACAGAATCAGAACTGCACTGACACAGGGTGTGTAAAAGTTTTATATGGGTCTAGCACAGAATTGAAAAATTAGTGAAGCCCAATTTAGAAATAACACTTAATACTTGACTTTTTAAAATTGCATTCCTAACCTATGGTTCAAATTTCATTAAAAGTTTGACCTCTGCACTCCCTTTGTTTCTCTATCCCCACTTTGACTTGCATCTTCCAAAAACCCTTCTATTCTGCCCATCAATATCTACTGCTTCACAATTGTGAAAGAACTGTTACAATTTAGGAGACATAGCAGCTAGTGTTTCCCTTCATACCTCATTTCAGTACACTATTTCTCTCTTCAGATACTGACCAGATGGATGTCGCAGGGCAGGCCTGCAAGAAACTGCAGAACAAGCTGGATGGTCTGCAAAACTTGGTGGAAGATCTTCAGCTGAAGAATCATGGTATTGTAGTTTTTAAAAGGCAAATTTGTTAGGTTTTGGTGTACACTTGAAAACTAGTTAGAAATAAAACTTTACAAATGTTTAAGTGAAACCTTGACAGTTATTCTGGTACACCCCTCCATTAATCACATTACAAAAACCACCATGTTTAGGTGGTTTAATTTAACCTAGCTTGAGGATTTTGTTCATTAATACTTCAGAACTATTACTAAATCCAAAATATTTGATTTACAGAAATGTCCTCCATGATCAGAAACCAAGAGAAGAGGATAAAAAGAGTAAAAGACAGAGAGAAAATGCTCAAAAAGTGAAGTCCATGTTTCTGCATTTTATTCTTTTGACTTGCTGCAGTACACAAAATAAAATCTGCTGCTATTTAATAGCTCGTGAAACCCATTCTGTTCAATCTATCCATATGTAATTAAAGTTAATTGAAATATATACAGGAGATTACTCACTGTTGAATCTGTTGTAGCCAAAATACTCGTGTTGTATTTGCTAATTTTAATGATTTCATGCTACATTTGTATAATGAAATGAGAGAGAGAGAGCGAGAGAGAATACATTTGTGTTAGCTTGCTGGAATTGATCCTCTTTCCACACAATCACTGCAGTTAAAATGTTGTTATGCAGAAGTATTAATTACAGAAAGCAATTTGTCTACCATGATTAAAAAACTAGAGACTGTGTTGATCCATGAACAGATTCATTATTTCCCCAAATGTAAAACAATTGTGTTGCAGTCTTTACATTACTACTGTCCAATTGGGTATTTAGTCTCCACCCCACCCCCCACTCCTATTTCAGGGGCATGATGATGATTTCATCTTGCATGAAAGGCAGAATTTTTAAAAAGATTCTTCAGACTATTTTAAAAATACAAGTCAAAAGTTTTTTTTGTGGAAAGTATATTACAAATTCAATTCTTGGCCAGATGGTACTACACAAAAAAAAAAGAGAATGTCTTAAAAACTATGGCAAAATTGAATGTTTCTCTAGCCCACTTTGACTTGCACTTTCTAAATTAAAAAAATATATAAACAGGAGTAATCAGTAATAATAAGCAGCATCTGAGAACATTATAATGGCTTCCCAAAATATTTAAAAGGAATGAGAAAAAAAGTTGTGCAACTTCCAGTTGATATTTCATAAGTCACTTTTCAGACTGATTAGGTGGAAATTGAATTGAGGGTTTCAGCATCAATAGATCAAGGCAAGATTCCCAAAAGTTGCCTTAGAAACAGCACCTCCTAGAAATTTAGAACTGCGTGCAGAAACTCAATATCATAATATTCAGGGTCTAGTGTTTGTAGACATGTGCTGTAAATCACAAGTTTGAAATGAGCTAACTAGTTTCAGTGTGGCAAAATGATGTTGCTTACTGTCTGAAAAAAATTCAATTTAAAATTCTGACTATAAATCAAAGTTATAGAAAAAAAAAATCAGTGATCTCTATAATCAAGATAATTTTTTTTTTTTTTTTTTTTTTTTTTTAAAATAAGGCATTATAAACTTGGAAACCGGAGAACTTGACTGAAGATTCAGGATGGAGGGGACAATTCTTAAGGTTTAGGAAAGGAACTCTTTCAGCCTCGTAAAGTTTACAAAAACTGTGGTAAACAGAGCATTATTTCAAACTTCAGTCCTCTTGACAGATTCAAAAAATGTAGCAATCACAAATTAAACTGCTGATTTATGAAGGCAAGTTCAAATTAAACAAGAATAAATTAAATTGGTTTGTTCAACCACAGCAAGTTTATTAGCTTGTTGAGTGTTTACGCCCCCCTGGACTAGAACAATGGCTATTTCCCTGCAGGGCTTTGCAGTTAAGGGGTTGAAAAGTTCTTGAATTATTGAAAACTAGCCCTCAAGTTAAAATCAAAAATTTAACATCTGCTAAATAAGGAATCAAACATTTGTGTGTTCCAGGATCCAAGACTGTAAATACCTTTAAACCTAAAGTAAATCTACTCCCTATTCAACACTAGGTTTGTTTGAACTCCAATCTCTGTAGGTCAGATTTGGGCACTAGCATCAGAAGAGACTGTTCAACATTATTTCAATGCAAGACTTAATACATAAAATTAATTTCACAATTTTAGTGTAAGCTATTGGTTTTATACTGAGTAGCACATTTTGTCCTTTTCAGGATTTAAATTTAGTAACCAGATTAAAAAAGTACATGAATACCATTTTTATTACCCTACCAAAAAAAAGGTAGCATTCACATGCCACAAAAAAAACTTTAACAATTCAGTAGTTAAGGCTAAACAAAGATTCACAACATGTAAAAGCAAAAAAAAAAAAGTCTTAATTAAGCCAAAAAGTTTCAGTATCTTTTTAAACCCATCTGTCCCCAAACAAGTATTACTTGTTAGAAAGAGGCAAAACATCTGAACAGTAATTTGAAAAATTTATAATGTAATGGCAAAAATTTTAATACTACTGATTTTAATTCTTAAAGAGAAGTGCAACATTAGATTTTTTAAAATATACTTAAATAGCAATGCTCTCATACACGTTGTTTGGGGAGGGGTGGGGTGGAGGGGCATTGCTACACTTCAATATCTTCATGCAAAAAAGTTTAGTTTTCTTTGTTTGAAAGTATTAAATATGGATATTAAGCATTTTCCCACAGGTGCACATGACAGTAAGTGATTATATGCATGCAGTAATTCTTGTATAATTACATTTATAGTAAGTGCTGGAATATTTTAGCCTTATGTCACTGATTTACTGTCCTCTGGAAGAGATGATATTTAAGGTTATTTTGTAAAGCACATTTTAGCAGCAAGTTATTACGCACAGACAAACCAGCACAGCAAAAATTCAGGCAGCCAACATTCTGAAGTCAAAGCACAAAAATAGGGAGACAAAGAAATTGCTTTTTTTTTTAAAAAAAGAAAAAAAAAGCAAAAAAGAAAAAGTCATTACCATCCAGTGAAAAAGTTACATAAATCACTGACATACAGTTCCCTTTTTGGAAGCAGTTAAATGAACTCAAAATCTTGAACTCCATCATTCCACATTACTAACTAGTGCACTCACTCGAATATTACGTTTCTCCAACATCAGCATGATATTTAATGGTAACCCCAGCACTGATATACTTCAAAGTCTTCATGACCAGTCTCAAGCATCCTATTGAAACACTCCTCCCACCTGCAGATCTTTCCATCTTCCACTACCACAAATTTCCACTCAATCTTGGAATTCACTGGGAGCAAAATGGAACTGGACCAGAATCCATCCTTGTTTGGTTTTAATGGTACATACCTCTCCCATTGCCCCAGACACTCATGGTTTCCTGTCACTGCAAGGATCTGAGAATTTAAGTAAGTAATATAGTGAACATTAAAGTTTACAGAGACTATGTTGAGAGGCAAAGGAGATACTGCAGCAACTTTCCTAGCAATGTTTTCAGGCTCCGAACTTGCATTCATTCTTTCTGACTCAGCATTAACATGCTCTTGGAAGAATTTTTTATCTTTTTCCTCTTCAGTTTTAAGACATTCCAACTTATTACTCATGTCAATGTCATTTTTGCAGATATTAGTATCAGGTGCTTCTTTTAGATAGCCTGTTCCATTGATTTTATCTGGTTTCAACATTTGATCAGAAGCTTCATCTTTATGGTCAAATTTTTCATACATGTTTCCACTTTTGTCAGTGCACTTAGTTTCACAAACATACATCTCCTCTTTGCTGAAATTACAGTCTTCAGCCATGCTTGCATTATGAACAGTAACTTGCCCAACCATCGAGTTATTTTTTGTCTGGTTATTCTCACAAATATTCTTCTGACTGGAATCAGCTGGATCCTGCTTATTTGACAAATTTTGGTCCTGTGCACTCTCCTGAATCTTGACCACTGCATCAGGAATATCTTGAGCCTCTAAAGCCACAGTTTTTTGGTCAACTGGAGACTGCTGAGTACTAACGTTCAATTCTGCTGTCTTGATCTCTGGCATATTGTCACTTTCAGAAACTGTAATTTTATCTGTTAAAACAAAAAAAAAGTGACAAATAGATGTGTTAAGGGAAACCTTCTGCCCAAAAGTAACAATGGCAAACATGCATCAGTCAAAAAAATTTAAACTCCATTTAAAACTAAAAGGAATTTGGATTAGGTTATGTTCAAGAATAAGTATACAATCAACCAATCTTAAAATAGAACAGTACAGTCACAAAGCTTTGTGGTACAGTGATATTGTCTGTAGCTCTGAAGGCAGATGTTACATGCCCTGGAAGAGTGTCATAACAGGTGTGAACAGGCTGATTATACAAACCACAGGTAAAATTCTCAATCTATCAAGAAGCAAACATGAAAATACAATGACATTACTTTCCAAGCAAACCCCTGCATGACTCAAGTATCAATTAAGAAGCTCTTTCTAAATAGATATTAAAAGAAGTCATGCCCAACATTTGTATGAGAATGCAATGATTTGAGAAATATTTTGCCCCCCAACAAGCAAGTTTTCTAGCATGATAAGAAATCAACTGGAACAGTGATAGAAACGCCATGCTAATTTTTAAAATTGGCCTCCTCCATTCATGGAGTTCTCAGATGGTACCAGTAAAAATTGCCAAATAATTTCAGTTGGAAGCTTTAAAAGTACAGCACAAGTTAGTAAGTTTCTATCTGTGTACATGGAGTGACCTGTAACAATTTTTGGGAAACAAGAGAAAAGTCATCCTGACCTGAACTGTGGTAATAGGAACTGCAGATGCTGGAGAATCCAGGACAACAAGGTGCAGAGCTGGATGAACACAGAAGGCCAAGCAGCATCATAGGAGCAAAAAGGCTGACGTTTCAGGCCTAAGGGTCTAGGCCCAAAACGTCAGCCTTTTTTGCTCCTATGATGCTGCTTGGCCTGCTGTGTTCATCCTTGTTGTCCTGACCTGAACTGTGATTTGTGGGCCGAAGCTTTTTACATTAGTAGTTTGAGTATGACAGGTGCCCAAAATATAGTTTCTGCAGTACACTTCAAGGGCAGATCACACTGGATGCTACGATGAGGGTGTTGATGAACACAATAAACCGATGCTGAAAGTGTGCAAGTCATGACATCAGATCAGTATAATCTGAAGCCTGTGGCACCATTTCAAGAGCTCAGTACTCCAGTCTTCACCTCAAGTCAAGGAGGACTTTCAGCAGTAGGAATCCAGCAGATTTTAAAAGAGAATTACTTGCAGGCTTGTTGCTAGGCATTTCTACTGACTGTTACAATATTGTGTATTTTACAATTTTTTTTAAAAAATGCTGCTAAACTCAACAAAAATTGGTATGATAGATGCTCAAGGAATCTAGGTGCATGAGATAGAATGGACTTGGAGAATGAATGAAGAGGCCACGGAGAAGGACAAGCTGCTTAATGTAATAAGAGAAACAATTCTCCAAACTGAACCTCAGGAGAGGAACACAGATCCTGATCTTAAAGTAAAAAGGTCTTTGAAATTTAGCAAATGATGTACCATAACTGCAAATTGAATAGCTGGACCATAAAATCAGTGACAAAACAGTGATCATAGCCATGATTTTTCTCATATCTGGTTGCTTGCAGAATAAAGCTGGAGATTATTGCAACATTTCTCAGTTTGAAATCTATGGTTGTGGGAAGTCATTGACACTATTCAGTGACAGACCAGTAGATTGCTTGTGACTAGAATGCAAGCAGAGCAAGCGTGGCTGAACACTTCCTGGTAAGCATGATGCCACTGCTTGAAGCCAGTGTCAAATCCTATATACTGCATAAAGAAATTCACTCCCTCAATGTCAATGTCATAGTGTATTACAGCATAGAAAGTGATCCTCTGGCCCAGAGTACATGCTGATTAAAGAGCTATTACATGTTCAGCTATTACAGTCAGTGCCTACTATCTGATCAAAACTCCAATGAGTCCTCTCTACTATCAGCATTTGATTAATTACAATAAACCTAGTGGGTGATTACTATAAAATAAAAGGCTACCTGCTGCTCAGGAGCCTCATGATTTATACACAAAACGTGTGCACATATACATGGGAACGAAGGCAAATCTGCCACATGAAATGCAAACTTAAAGCCATTGGTACGTTGAAACAATGCGTCAACTGCCTGGACTACTCTGGAGGATCCTGAGGCATTTGGCTTTATGATAGATAGCCTATAGCTTGCCACACCTCTCTTACACAAGCAGTACAGGGAAAAGAGGCAGCAATCCACACAATTCTGTCCAGATTGTTCATCAAGATCCGCATTAAGACAAATACATCCCCAATTATTAACAGTCTCACTTCCCACCTTCCCTATCACATGATCATACTATCCATTTACTCTAAATTTTAAAAAGTGACCCCAATAAATGTTTGAAGCTAGAAATTTATAAACCAAGGATTGTTCCATTTTTGCGTAGGAAAATCAATCATTTTTGTGTCTGTTGATGTGCGGATGTAGTGCAGTTTGGCAGGTAGAAGACCGCCAACTTTCAGAGCGATGCAGGGAAGAGTTGCACATGACGATTAATCATTTCTGATTCCAGAAGTACATCAGGACGCAGTCATGTATATTAACATCAGGTACAAGTACTGACTGGGGCAAATTCTTGGAGGACGGCGGGGTTTAAGTGATTTAAACAGCAGGGAGGTTATGACATTTGCAGGGGCCTACACTGACCTTGAGAAGGGTGCAGGGTAACAGCCTTCCCTGTTTCACACATCCAGGTCCTTGGGGCCTGACTCCTGGAACTGGGGTCAGTATCCCAGTCTGCTGAAGATGGTCTGGAGGAGGACCTGCAGCTACAAGACATCCCTCCAATTTTCCACTTCCTCCACCAGGAGTTGCAGCACAGCCATGAATCTATGAGCCCACCGTCTCGTCCATGTTGTGCCATTACTGGGGTTTCACAAGTCGGAATCACTCACTGCACAACTGCCAATATCTGCTCCAACCTCGATATGCTTCTTCCCAAAAAAGGATTAAAAAAAAAGTGGTTGGGGGTTCGGTTTAAACCGTCATTAACTACTATATTCACAGCCCAACAGAACAGTTAGCATCAGCTGGACGGTTTTAAAAAAAGTCACCACAAAATCCGTTTCAGACAGAACTGTGCGTGCTGCAGACAACAGGTTAGTGTACTGTCACAGTTTGGGGTCTAGTGGTTAATGCAAGGACACTCAGTGGTCCAAAAGGTGCAGTGTTCATTTGGTGCAATGCGGGCCGGGGAGAGAGAGGGAGGGAGGAGGTGGACAGTGAGTGAGGAGAGAGAGAACACGCGCGCCTCTCGTCAGTGCAGGCGTGAAGCAACACAGAGACCCCAGCCTGCTCAGGAGGACAGCCCTCCCTCCCGCCAGCCAAACTCCAGCACTGCCCACACCCCTTCAAACCAATAGCCTACCCCCGGACCGTCCGGCCAGTTCACCGCCTGGCTCATAGTTCAGTTCAACCTTTCCAGCGGATTCCCGCGATTAGAACCGGGTTTAATCCTCACTTCACATTACCAGCAAGATATAAAGTTACCGTCCCGTCAGGTGACGGCAGTTCAGTTTTTTTTGGAGTTGGGGGGGGGGGGGAACCTCTTACGATAATAATCAGGATGAAGTACTCGCAAACAAACATAGAATGCTGGTTTCTGATGAGTTTCTCCTCCCCCCTGTCTGTTTCAGATATCCCGCATTCGCGGTGTTTTGTTTTTATTTGATGTGGCTAGAAAATACGCAGTTAAGGATTTGTGCGCCTCGTCATCTCTCTCTCTCCCCCCACCGCCACCCAGTTCCCCGATAAAGGAACAGTGCTCAGAAAGCTTGATTTGGTGTAAACCGGTTGGACGAAAACCTGGTGTCGCGTCACTCATGACTTTGTCCACCTCAGTCCAACATTGGCACTTCCACAGCATGACCCCCGCCCCCGAAGAGTGGCTATCATCTGCTACTTGGATACATTCACCTCCATACACACCATGTGTAGCTAAGGAGCATCAGCATGAACCTACACAGAATTTCAGAAGAAAACGCAGCAATAAACATGCCGCTCCCACACACACGCACGCACACAGTCTATAGAGAAGGGGGGTGTGGCACATTCTCCAGGTACAAGTCTCAGGGGAGGCCGCCCGTACTGAGCCCGGGTCGGACTGAACGTAACGAGCTTCTCTCTAAGAGAGGAACCTGCTGCCTCCCCCCTCCCCCGTCCAACCAGCAGCTCCAAATGCAAACAGCTAGTTAATATTTACCAGCAGTGTCCTGCTGACAGCCCTCTCTCTCTCCGTCCTCAGAGCTGCTCTCCCCAAGGCTGCGGTCACTGCCCTCCGGGGAAGTGCTCTTTGGCCCAGCTCCCTCCGGGCTCTCCAGTGCCTTCTGGTTCTTGCCTCTCTGAAACCACAGCCAGGTGCTGAAAGCGACTACCAACGCCAGCGGCAACACTGTCCACACGCTGCTCAACATCACTACTATCCCCTGCAACAAACTCGCCAGCCCCACTGCCATTGCCGGACACTCAGACACCTCCGACTCTAATCCAGAAAGCCACTTCAGTCTGAGCCTTTTCAGCTGACGCTCTGGACACATCCCAGCTGCCGGCTCCTCCTCCCACTCCTGGCCCCTCCTCCCACCCCAAGCCGCACCTCCATCTCCTACCGACCAACCTCATCCCGCCCCCTTGACCTGTCCGTCCTCCCTGGACTGACCTATCCCCTTCCTAACTCCCTACCTACACTCACCTTTCCTGGCCCCATCCCCGCCTCTTCGACCTGTTTGTTTCCTCTCCACCTATCCTCTCCTCTATCCCTCTTCTATCCGCCTCCCACTCTCTCCCTATTTATTTCAAAACCCCCTTCCCCTCCCCCTTTTCTGATGAAGGGTCTAGGCCCGAAACGTCAGCCTCTCTGCTCCTATGATGCTGCTTGGCCTGCTGTGTTCATCCAGCCCTGCACCTTGTTGTCTCGGATTCTCCAGCATCTGCAGTTCCTACTATCTATGAATTAGTCTAAGTTATTTTGCCCCCAAAGAGTATTTCTAGTGCTGGTTCTTTATGCCATCTGTTTTAATTTATACTTTCATCTATTCAAACCTAATCTGCCTGTTTTAATACTCTACATACTATAAAGTAGTGTTACGGATTTTTGTAATCTCGCTGTTTAACACCTTGAAACATTTAATAAATATGGTAGCTGTTCGAGGACTACCATGAGGTTATCACGGGACACGTTTCAATTGTTTCAGAGTTAGTAGGAACTGCAGATGCTGGAGAATCTGAGATAACAAGGTGTGGAGCTGGATGAACACAGCAGGCCAAGCAGCATTAGGGAGCAGCCTTCTTGCTCCTCTGATGCTGCTTGGCCTGCCATGTTCATCCAGCTCCACACCTTGTTATCACATGTTTCAATTGGTTCTGTTATATTTGAAAGAAACTTTCCCACTAAGTTTTCTGATTAACAAAATTCTGGTCCACCCTAAAAGATTGATGAGAGCCCACAATCCCCCCTGAAGTAGCCGAATAAACCATTCACATCTAAACGCTCAGTCTAAAGCACAATAATTAAGAAACATAATGGACAGACCACTCAGATACATTATACATTGTAATAGAACAAGAGACAGGCAATTTTAGTTTGGATGATCTTGCTGTAGGTACATGCCAAGTTGGGCAAGACACCCATATAAAAAATTACGAATCCATGTGCCTGAGTTGTACCTGTAACCCAAGCATCTTGATCATTTCCATTAACAGTCCAGGATATGTTAAATGTTCTTCTATCTTTACCCTCAGTCAAGGTGAATTGACCCAGTTGAACTTGGGAAAGTGCTTTCATGCATTCAAAATGAAGAAAGCACTACTTAAGGTGTTTAATGATTTAAATGTTAGAGTCACTTTATACAATGATAAAAAGAACCTTGAGAAGTCTTCGCAAAATAAACCCACTCCTGGGTTGCTTTGCTAGACTGAAATCTGGTATAGCTTAGAAAAGGAAAACGTATTTTTTTTCAGCTTCAGTAGAATCCATTGATTACATTTTCCCCCCAGGGTTTGTTATTATATCTGGCATCATTATGAATTCTTGACAGGGGTTTAAAAGATTCAAAGCCATTTTGTGCAACAGCAGATGTGTTCACATTTTGATTAACAACTTCAAGAGGCTATTTAAAGCCCTTTGATGTGGCTGATAAAAAAAACCTACTTGTTTTACAATAAATTAACCACTTGAAGGGTTTACATCTTTTGAATGGGTTTTATGCATGAAATTTCATGCATTTTGTTTAGTGAGAAGAATGTTTGAGCTCCATGAGAAGATTTTTGTCATCTTGATTTCAAAAACACAGAGCAAAATTTTACATTCCTCCCACTGACCGAATTGGAAGTGGATGAGCCCATAAAATTTGACAGTTGCGCAACCTACTGAGTCCTGCTCACAAAAACTTAACCAGTATTTATGGTAGAAAGGATGAGAACTTCACCAACCTAATCCTAACCCCATCCTCTTCACCAACAGCCCTCCACTCGGCTTCCACTTACCATTTCATCTTGGGTCATACCTCCCCGGTCTGCCATGAGATCGCTAGACTTCACTGGTTCTAGTCTCTGGGACTTAGCCTCTGGGGTCTGGACCCCAGTTCTGTTCACTGAACCTCTGGTACTTTGGGTCTACAGAGCTGTCAACCAATCAAATTGGCCAGCTGCTGTCTGCAATGGGACTTCCTGCTGAGTGAGGGTTAGTATCCCCGTTTCCAGGCAATTAGCAGCCAGGTTGTGTTCCTTGCTGACTCTTCAGGTAGCAAGAAAGCAAACCCCACTGTACTAAAAATCCTGGCCATGAATCCTCTCTAATTGTAGATACTTGGTGAATGGCTACGGAGGATACATGAGGCAAGAGGGAACATGAGGACATGAGGGAATATGGAGAGGGCATGGAGAATGTGAGGCTTGGGGAAGGTGAGTCAACATAAGATGAGAGGGCATATCTGCCTGTTTCTGTTGCTGCTTTAGGCCTGCCTCTGAAGGCAGTGGGCTTGATGCTTTCCTGTCCCCTTCAGTCCTGACACAGAAGTATTGTGGGCAGGAGCCTTTTTGATGGAGACATACAGAAAGTTTACCAACTCAAGTTTCCTAACCTTTCCATAAAAACCTGGCACGCAGTATGTATGCTAGGCAGGAAATATCATACTTTCTAACCATTTGCTTTGCCACCTCACTCAAGTGCAGCAATGACACTGGTACTTACTTGATTATAGAAATTTTTTGCTATCCAAAAAAGAGGACAAATCCAATATGATCAATTTTCTCCTATTGGTCTTGATCAGCAGCTAGGAAAATCAATATTACCATCAAGTCACATCGACTCATATACGAGACATGGAAGGCAAGGTAAAGAAGGCGTGAGACCACAGAACAGCAAGGTGCTGCCAATTTCATCAGAGTGAGGCAATGACAGAGACGTTAATGAAGATTTAACCTCAGTGTACACAGAGGAAGCAGAACTTTATAGCAACCGATGAGAATGTATAAAGGCTAATCCTGAAGCTAAATATTTAAAAGGAAACTATATTTAAAAATCAGACCAGGAGTAGAAAAACCAACAGACAGGCTTCGATTTTAACCCAGAATACTGACTGAGTTGTAGGAAGAGGTAACAAATTTATAATTCCTCAAGAAACCTTTGGAGTATTGGAGGATGGCGATCTTACAACCTTGTTCGGGGTAAAGGTCAAGCCAGCTAGGATATCATAGGTCAGTTACTTCTACTGTGTGTATTAATATTCAAGCACAGAGCATCTCAAACTTTGGATCATCACTCCAGGTGAGATTTTGGGCTTGTGAATTACACAATAATGGCTGCCAGGGAGCTTGGACAAGTGTTAACCTTGAGTTCTTTGTATTTTTCCAATGGTGGATGTGACCTAACTGATTGATCTTTGAGAGCTATTGAAAAAGTAAGTAATTTTTATTTAAAAACCCTGCAGTTTAAATAGCAGTCCACCGTTCCAGCTCTAACCTCCTAACTGACTCACATTCTGGCATGAAGACAATTTTTTAGCCTCAAAATGGGAAGCTTTGTTCTTGCATGTGCAAGATGTGATGAAATTATTGCTCAAAATGTGGAGCTAATTAGTATGGATTTGCAAAAGGTTGTATGTTGATTAAATTATTGAGTTTTTTGAGGAAATAAAGCATTGTTAAAGGGATTGCATTTAATATTGTACAATTAATATTGTACAGTAATATTGTATAGTGCTAAATAAGAACACAAGGTGGTAAAATGTGCCTGTCTAGATGTTGTTTTGAACAGAGAACAAATTGATAACGTTGCAGTGACATGAGCAATGCTGTGCACCAGGCAGTTGTTGGGATCATTTGTTTTCATTTATATAAATGATGTGGATATTGACAGAGGAGAACTGATAGTTATGTTTATGACTGGACATTGTGGATTGTGAAGAGGAATGCAGGAGGACAGGGAAAGGAAAACCATGTGGGCAAATAGGTGACGGTTGCAGATCAAAGCAGGAAATGTTGAACCATGAAATTACATAAGGACTTAGGACAAGCAGTAGGCCATTCAGCCCCTTGAGCCTGTTCCTCCATTCAATGAGATCATGGCTGATCTGTGGCCTATCTCCATATGTCTGCCTTTGGCCAGTATTCCTTAACACCTTTGCTTAACAAAAATTTATCTATCTCGGATTTAAAATTAACAACTTGATCCAGCATCCACTGCCATTAGTGGAAGAGAGTTCCAAACATCTACCACCATTTGTGTAAACACATTCTGTTAGTAGAAGGAAGTTTTTTTTTAAAAAGTCCTAATTAATAAGATTCTCAATAGAATCCAAATGCGCTATGAGATTGCAGACCACCTCAGCTTTCTCTCCACGTCCCCAGCATCACAGATGTCAGTCTACATTGAATTTGGTTCACTCCAGCTGCCACTGGATACTGAAAAGGCTACACGGCCTTACAATATTCTGACAAAAATACTGACGATAGGTGCTCCAGAACTAGCCATAACTTCCTGAATCATCTGATTGACTCTGGAGCTGCAAAAGTTGAAAATTGCCTTCCCATACAGTGGACAATTTAGGCCCTTGAGTAACTAATTAAGGACCATCTAATGGACTGTTCTGGTGGCTATTTGGCAAAACAGCCCAATAAAAGGTGATGGCCAACCTGTAGGCCTGGCTGATGGGGATCCCTTTCAGGCATCCTGGGGCTAAGGGAGAGAACCCCATAGCAGCAAGAGGGCTCCTTGGAAAAGCTTCTTCACCAACAAAACTTTGCCCTCGCTGGGGTTGCCTAATAGGTCACTGAGAGCTTGATCAACCTTGTCTGAGCTTCAAGGCCTGTTCTATCTCATTGGCCTTAATTGGTTGCAATCCCAGCAACAGCCACTGCTCTCATCGGCCCTGCTGGGACTGAAGAGCTGCTAGCCCTGTGATTGTCTGGCAAGTTTTTAGGGCCTTAAGTGGATGGCTCAATACCAGGCAGTCAATTGCCTGATGGGTTTAAAACCGTGTGGGCCGGGTTGGTTGGTTATGAGTGGGGAGGGAGTGGTGTGGTCCTGGAAACAGACAAGGTGGATTTGCCC